GTAAAATTAAGGACGGAGTTTTTCTCAAATGTGGTCTTAAGTGTCTCTATTTCTTTAATGTTATCAGCTAAAATGAATATATCATCTACGTAGCGAACATAGATTTTCGGTTTGTGGACCTGTGTAAATATGGTATTTTCTACGTGGGACATATAATAGTTAGAAGCATGGACCCAATGGATTTCCCATACTAACACCATTAGTTTGGGTATAAATATTGCCATTATGGTCATAGAAGGGGACTTTGGTTGTGCATGCGTGTAGTTTTTTTTAGGATAGGTGGTTTGATGGATGGCGGAGGATGGAATTATTATTGTATATAGAGTTGAGGATAATATCGATAGTTTTGTCAACAGGGACGTTTGTGAATAAGTTTTCAACGTCCAGTGACGCTATTATACCTTGATTTGTTCCATTTGTAGTTTTTAAAATTTGTAGGAATTCGTGGGTGGAGGTGATGCTGTAATTGGTAGGTAGGTATGGAGTGATGATATCGTTAAGGAATTTTGATAGCTCGTAGATAGGTGTTGGTATCTGGGAAATAATTGGTCATAGCGGGTATCCTGGTTTATGTGTTTTTATGTTTCCATATAGGTATCGGTTGGTAATCTCAACTATTTTTTTGAATTTTCAGGGAATCGACTTCCGCGTTGTGAGCTGTTATAAAGTTTGTTAACAGACCTTTTTAAATTCTCAGTAGGATTTCGTTTCAATTTGGTGAATTTAGATCGGTCATCAACGATATCTTTTAATTTTTGCTGGTAATCAGCTTTGTTGACTATAACATATGTGTTAGATTTATCAGCGCGTCTGATGACAATGTCAGCGTTGTTTTTTAAATCTTTCGCAGCGTTTTTTAGTTTTGGTGTTAAAATACTACTATGGTTAGTGCCGGGGGATCGGTTCTTCAAACCCTCAGCTTTGAGTCTTTAAGTCTTTCATGTCAGGGTGTACTGCTATATCACCACGCGTGGAAAGTTGGGATAGTGATTGGTATAAAATTTCAATTTCGGTTGTCTTGGTGATAAGGTCAAACTTAGATTGGATGTGGCAGTTTGGACCTAAATTTAGAAATTCTTTTTGGTCATCTGTTAATTTATGGTTGGATAAATTTAAATATTTGTCTTCACTATTGGGTAATAAAATATTTCCTTGATATAATTTACAAAGTTTTTGAAATTATTTGTCTGTGTGTGAGTTGGTGCTGGTTGATGCTAAGATTCAGGTGGTACAGTGATTCATTATATTCAGGTTCGGTCAAAGTGTTTTTTAGTGTAGTGTTATGTTTGTGTATTTCTTTGTTTAAATGTTGGATTTCATTTTGAGCTAATTTTATTGTCGTAAGACGAGGTTTTTTCCTGAATGTAGTGGTGTTTTTTAATGGCTATATCATAAATAATTTGATGCATAGGAATGAATTGCCCCTAATTATACAAATATCAAATTACACGACCCGGCAGCCAACAAGGAAAATAACACCACTACATTCAGGAAAAACCTTAAAATTTCTTACGACAAATAAAATTAGCTCAAAATGAAATCAACATTTAAACAAAGAAATACACAAACATAACACTACACTAAAAAAAACACTTTGACCGAACCTGAATATAATGAATCACTGTACCACCTGAATCTTAGCATCAACCAGCACCAACTCACACACAGACAAATAATTACAAAAAACCAACATTTAAATTATATCAAGGAAATATTTTATTACCCAATAGTGAAGACAAATATTTAAATTTATCCAACCATAAATTAACAGATGACCAAAAGAATTTCTAAATTTAGGTCATTTAACTGCCACATCCAATCTAAGTTTGACCTTATCACCAAGACAACCGAAATTGAAATTTTATACCAATCACTATCCCAACTTTCCACGCGTGGTGATATAGCAGTACACCCTGACATGAAAGACTTACTCAAAGCTGAGGGTTTGAAGAACCGATCCCCTGGCACTAACCATAGTAGTATTTTAACACCAAAACTAAAAAACGCTGCGAAAGATTTAAAAAACAACGCTGACATTGTCATCAGACGCGCTGATAAATCTAACACATATGTTATAGTCAACAAAGCTGATTACCAGCAAAAATTAAAAGATATCGTTGATGACCGATCTAAATTCACCAAATTGAAACGAAATCCTACTGAGAATTTAAAAAGGTCTGTTAACAAGCTTATAACAGCTCACAACGCGGAAGTCGATTCCCTGAAAATTCAAAAAATAGTTGGAGATTACCAACCGGGATACCTATATGGAAACATAAAAACACATAAACCAGGATACCCGCTACGACCAATTATTTCCCAGATACCAACACCTATCTACGAGCTATCAAAATTCCTTAACGATATCATCACTCCATACCTACCTACCAATTACAGCATCACCTCCACCCACGAATTCCTACAAATTTTAAAAACTACAAATGGAACAAATCAAGGTATAATAGCGTCACTGGACGTTGAAAACTTATTCACAAACGTCCCTGTTGATAAAACTATCGATATTATCCTCAACTCTATATACAATAATAATTCCATCCTCCGCCATCCATCAAACCACCTATCCTAAAAAATTACTACACGCATGCACAACCAAAGTCCCCTTCTATGACCATAATGGCAATATTTATACCCAAACTAATGGTGTTAGTATGGGAAATCCATTGGGTCCATGCTTCTCTAACTATTATATGTCCTACGTAGAAAATACCATATTTACACAGGTCCACAAACCGAAAATCTATGTTCGCTACGTAGATGATATATTCATTTTAGCTGATAACATTAAAGAAATAGAGACACTTAAGACCACATTTGAGAAAAACTCCGTCCTTAATTTTACATATGAACTTAGCCAAAAAAACAAACTACCATTCTTAGATATCCTCGTTGAACATAACAATAACACTTTCATTACATCATTATACAAAAACCCACTAGCAAAAACTCGTGCCACCTTAATTTTTAAAAGCGAATGTCCACTTAGGTACAAAATAGCTGTAATAAAAAACTTTCTAAATAGAGCTCACCAGAACTCATCCTCTCGACTACTCTTTCTCAAAGAACTTAACAACGTTAAACAAACACTAATTAACAATGGTTTCCCTAACTACCTTATAGACCAACAAATTAGAATATTCCTCCCCAAAGCAAGTAATAATGATAGTGAACACACAACTAAAAATCACATACACATTTATTACAAAAACCAAATGCATATTAATTACAAGCAAGATGAATCTGCTCTAAGACATATTATAAAGAAATATACTACTCCTATTGACCCGGATAAAAAAATCAAACTTATTATCTATTATAAAAAATTTAAGACGGCCAACCTTATCCTCAAAAATAACAACACACCAACGAAGTCAAAATTACAAAGAGCGAACATTATCTATGAGTTCAAATGCCCTTTAAGGAACGTTCCTCACCAAACCGGACTCATAAATAATTACATCGGCTACACAACCACATGTTTATCCAGACGTCTTACATTACACCTATCTGATCACAGTTCCATCAGAACACATTTAAACACACACTCAGATTTACCTGACACTATTAGGAACATACTAGTAGAAAACACTAATATATTAACTGCATCCACTTGCAAAAAAAAGACTAAAAATAATGGAAGCTCTAATAATAAAAAAAAAAAGCCAACTCTTAACAATATCAATTATGAACAAAGCCACAATGTGCTAACTGTATTCGGAAACTAAAACATCACTACCACACACTGAACATACATAGAACACACACTCTACTTGATAATGAATATCCATCATTGAACCATCCTTGATAATGGCTAAAAGTATAGCCGAAAGCGCTCTCGAAAAAACAGAACATTTGGACAGTTCTTACACACTCTTTGTCCAGAAAAGAAGGCTCTTGTCAGAACACAAGAAAAAATTAAATAAAAGCTCAACTGTAGTACCTTGTCTGTCGTTTTTAACGAAACATGCATATATATATATATATATATATATATATATATATATATGTGTGTGTGTGTGTGTGTGTGTGTGTGTGTGTGTGTGTGTGTGTATACTATATGTGTCTCTGTATGTAATGTGTATATGGTGCACTATGTGACACAAACACCCCAAACGAACCTCCGCAGGTTTTGAAATCAGAGTTGTCCTTCTAGACCAGTTGCCATCCAAGGCTATAGAACCTATAGAACCCAGTCTATTTACCCATAGCTGGAGGGAGAATAAGATTAATACCTTTCTCAATACATTTCTCCTTTCGTGTGGCTGTGTAGACGTGGCAACATCAACAAAGCCCAGAAGAGATGATAATGATCTGGGTAACATTTGGAAATATATAGTTCTTGCAAGTTAACGACGTCAGGCGAATTGCGTATTTCAAATCGCATCGGCGCAGCTTAGATACTGGGTATCTCTTATAGCACCGATTCGTGCCATCGATAATATATTGTTTTAATTATGGGGCTGGCCCCACCACAATACAGGATCCATTCCAGACATTCTTGTGATTTATCGTAATTTCGAAATTAAGAGAACTCTCGTCTATCAGACGATTCTTTATTCACGACCCTCTTTTCATCTTTGCTTTGTCCTAAAGATCATGAACTCAACTATATTAAGCTTAGGTTCCCGAAGGTAAGCAACGTCCAGCCCTGGTCAGTGCCTAGATGGGTGACCGCTCCGGGAATACCAGGTGTGAAAGCTTAGATGTTCGGATGGTATTACGGCCGTATCACGTTGAAACACAGGTTCCCTGACGATGACCGAAGGCAACGTCCAGCCTGGACCTAGATGGGTGACCGCTCGGGAATACCAGGTGCTGAAAGCTTAGAAGTTCGGATGGTATGGCTTACGGCCGTATCACGTTGAAACACGGGTTCCCTGACGATGACCGAAGTTAAGCAACGTCCAGCCTGGTCAGTGCCTAGATGGGTGACCGCTCGGGAATACCAGGCGCTGAAAGCTTAGATGTTCGGATGGTATGGCTTACGGCCGTATCACGTTGAAACACGGGTTCCCTGACGATGACCGAAGTTAAGCAACGTCCAGCCTGGTCAGTGCCTAGATGGGTGACCGCTCGGGAATACCAGGTGCTGAAAGCTTAGAAGTTCGGATGGTATGGCTTACGGCCGTATCACGTTGAAACACGGGTTCCCTGACGATGACCGAAGTTAAGCAATATCGTGCCTGATCTGTACCTAGATGGGTGTCCCCTTGTGAATACCAAGTGGATGTGCGGTTGGTAAGTTTTACGGCAATATCACGCTGAAACACGGGTTCCCGTAAGATGTCCGAATTTAAGTAACGTCGATATTGGTCAATACCGCTTGAGGTGCAGTAAGATGGGATGGTATTGTTTACAGTCATATCAGGTTGAAACACTAGTTCCTGAAGTTAAGCAACATTGAACCTGGTCAGTACTTAGGTGGGTAACCGCTCGGCTCAGGAACACCAGGTTTTGTAAGCTTGAATGTGCGGCTAGTATAATGGATAATGGTACTCTATTGTTAATCAGAGAGTCGAGTTCCAATTCCAATTGGGTTCGTTATAGGCGCAAATTCCCTTGGGAAAGGTAAGATTCAATCTCTTCACCCCCAGCTATGGGTTAATTAGTAAGACTTGTATTCTTAAAATCATTTTTATCTCCAAATATATTCTTACAATCTAAAATATTTTCTGGTATTAAATTACATGTAAAGGTTGATAAACCGTAAAAAAACGAATCAGTACATCAATCAACTATATTATATCTCAATGAAGACACTGTTATATAACTTGTGTATTTGAACAACGTTTGGTTTACGACCATGAGACTCGGTTTCGGATCTCACTGTCGATTTGTCAAAGCGATAATTTCTTGACTTTTGTGGTCGTACGAGAACCGGTTTATCAACGTGATATGATTGCAAGCTCATTATACCACCCACATATAGCTTATAACAACTAGTATACCGAAGCAACCATCTAGGTACTGGCCAGTCTTAACATTGCTTAACTTCGGTATTTAAGAGTGATATTGCCGTAAGCAATACCACTCGCATATCCAACATGGTATTACCAATTGGTCACCCATCTTTTTCCTGACCAAGCTCGAAGTGTTTCCATCTGATGTGGCCGAAAGCCATACTTTCCACACCTCCAAGCTTACAGCACCTTTTATTATCAATCGGTCACCTATCTTTGTCCTGACCAGGCTCGACCTGCCTCCATCTGATGTGGCCGTAAACCATACCACCCACAACTCCAAGCTTACAGCACCTTTTATTATCAATCGGTCACTCATCTTTTTACTGAACTAGCTCGACGTGTTTCCATCCAATGTGGCCGTAAGCTATGCCACCCACACTCCTAATTTTATAAAACCTGGTAATTACCAAGCGGCCACACATCTTTTTACTGATCAGTCTCTACGTGTTTGAACGTTGTGTGGTCATAAGTCAAACAGTGAGTAAGGTGAGATGCAATAGGAAGTCCTTAATAATTAAAGGACTTTGTGAATAGTCATGATCACCCACGTACTTCATATAAATGCAGATTTGACATTTGGTTACAGAGGCGCGAAATGAAATTTCATGCCAGAGATAAACTAAAACTGACGAAATGATTTAACTTTACACTTCGGCGTCCTTGTACCAAGATGGCATCCGTTTGGCCGACATCATCGACCAAGCGTTTCCCACTGAAATGCAAGTAATGGCTGAAATATTTCTTGGGTGTTAACAAATGGCTCGGACAAGAGTAGCAACATATATTTTCATAGAATTTTCAGCATCTATCACATTTAAGTGAACTTTTTCTCCCGATTCAATTGCTATTACGCTAATGTCGTGTATAATTTTTATATATATATATATATATATATATATATATATATATATATATATATTATTCGGACTACTGTCCTCATCTTTGTCGCCATATTTATTACAACGTTTCGGCCGTTATACGCTCCGGCCTTTTTCAGGTGATTGGAATGTCGAAATGAACCCTTTATTTCGCTCATTGGGGTAGACTATTGTAGTTACACGTGTCATGTTTTAATGGATATCAGTTATCTGTTATCTCCTGTTAAAATATATATATATATATATATATATATATATATATATATATATTATATATATATAGGTACCATGTGTAACAGTAAAATTGTCCAAATAGTGTAAGAGCATAATTGTTCATCGCCTAAAAGATTTGATATTTAAAAAAATCGCTAAATTAATTGAGTTTCTCTTATCCAGGTTTTCAGATAAGACGTTTAGCCACCTTGACATCATTTTTCATAAGAATCATTGAAAAACCCTTTGAGTTATTCAACTAGAAAGAGAACCGGTTAAGGTTGTTTTGTATCAGCCTCACTGTGTCTTCCCAACTGAGCAATGGTCAGAGGAAAAAGGTCCATCTTGCCTTCAGTAATGGTACCATCATTCATACACTGGCTTACATCTTCTAAATCTATTCAAGAACCATCAAGAGAACGGTGAATAATGTTTAAAAAGAGGTTAACAGTAGAAGAGAAAACTGTATCAGAAGATCACAACAGTAAGAGGGAGCATCATTTCAATTTAGAGCTAAAGAGATCAATTAGAAAAAGATCCAACTCAATTCAGAAGACATTTGGCACATGAGAGAGGAGTTTCAGCTATGACAGTCCAAAGAGTAGTGAAAAAAGACTTGAAAATGAAATCGTACGTGAAACGTGTGAGGCAACTTGTTATACCAGGACAGAAGGTTAGAATGTTAGATAGGACGAAGATCATCTTGAATAAGTTTGAAAATTATCGTGGAATAATATTTCTATATTTTTTAAAAGAACTAATAAAGGCTATATTATTTTTTAAAATGAGTAAACAAACGCGCAACGTTGGGTCAATGTTATTTTTACTTTTATTTTTTTCACACGTGTATTGGTCACTTTTTAATACCACTGTTTCCTGGTCTGATTCAACTCTGACCATTAAACCTTTATATATATATATATATATATATATATATATATATATATAATTATTTATTTAAAATATGATTCCAACACGCTACATAAAAGTTCTCATGTTTCAAAACAAGAGCCGAAAACTTCAATATAATTATTTGAAATTAAATTGAATTAAAGTAAGCTCTGTTCCATCTTCAAGCGAAATTTTTTTGCAATAACTTATTTCTGATAGCATATTCATTATTGAAATAAAAATTTCTATGGTAACGGCTAGAGCAATTGTTTAAATAAACAGGGGTGTAAGGTGTTAATAATTTGTATCAGTATAAAGTTACATTCACAGATGTCAAGTCAGGGTAAGGTTGGGTGTCTAAATTTAAAACAGAAGATGATTTCGCCTAGTCTGGTTTACGTGTCTATTTATTTTTTCTGAAAGGGTTTTGTATATATAAAAACTGCCGTAACATTTGTTTTTTGACGACTTTATAAAGGGTTATCTTTTTTGTAGGGCATTTAAACTATTTATTAGGACTATGGATTTTAAAAAAATTATTTTATTGTTTGTTTGTTTTTATACTAATTATTCAATGCAAAAATTTGATGATGTCGGCAAAAAACCGTTAACTCATGTCTATTGTTTAACAGATTTTATTATTTAGAAACTTAATAATGTGTAGTTTTCACGACCCATGCCCTTTATGCCCCCCTATATATATATATATATATATATATATATATATATATATATATATATATATATATATATATATATATGAACTTTATTTGAATCCTTCACGAGCTTTCGATTCTTAGCTATGATTAATTAATTGTTGTGGTTCAACAATTCGCAAACACCTCTTCCGAGTAAGATCTCTCATAGAGGAGAACATGATTAAGGACTGGATGTACATCAGCCCATGCAGCTATGATAAGAAATATAAAGGACAAATAGGCCGACCCCTTAAGATAAGACTCCAGGAATACCGAAAAGTCGTAATTTCGATCACCTGAAGAAGACCGAAGCGTACAACCACCGGAACATCGGGAATATAGCAACAAAGACGAGAACAACACTTCGAACAATGTAAAGAGTTTAAATAATTACAATACCTCATCTCAGAAATATAGGCAGATCCTGAAGAAGGCCATAGTTTACAACGGCCGAAATGTCGTGAATATGGCAAGGAAGACGAAAATGAGGACAACAATTCAAGCAATGTTAATAGTGTAAATAAATGGTTTAGTTTGAAACTGCTTGTAGGTTATACGGAATTATATGTACCTAATATAGGCTGGAAGCACAACAACAGTGACTAGGATAATAGTCAACTCTAAATATTGTAAAATGCATTGATTTTAATATCTATCGACTTGTAAAATCATCTGTGACTTCAGAAAATGAATATATATCGCAGGTGCCTGCCTGGCTGCTGAAATAATTGCATGCACTCTTTTGAAGTCAAAAGACTGTTTGTTGGGGCCAAAAGCGTGATTTCAAATCAAAGTTCTTCATATATGGCACATGCAACCTTCAATAAATTACCTTAATTTTATAACTATTTATCTATTATTGTTTATTCATATCTATCTATCTAGCTAGCTAGCTAGCTAGCTAGCTAGCTATGTCTGTTAAAATCTATCTATCCACCTGTTTCTCACAATTGGGTTTACTTTTTAAGTCTATCTATCTATCTATCTATCTATCTATTATTGTTTATTCATATCTATCTATCTATTCCTGCTCATATCTATCTCTCTATCTATTTATCTATCTATCGATCCCTACTGATATCTATCTGCCTACCCCTGTTCATATCTATCTATCTATCTATTCCTACTGATATCTCTACTGATACCTCTAGCTATGTCTGTTAACATCTATCTCTCCATTTATCTCTCATAATGTTACCTTCTAAGTCTATTCATAGCTCTCTCTCTCTTTCTTTCTTTCTTTCTTTTTTTATCTGTCTATTACTGTCTATTCATATCTACCTGTCTTTCTGTTATTGTTTATTCACATCTATCTATCTATCTATCTATCTATCTATCTATCTATCTATCTATCTATCTATCTATCTCTTTCTGGCTGGCTTTCTTTCGATATCTACTCATTACATTTTACTCAGTATCTACCGCCAGTGAATTACGATGATCAAACGCCCACGCATATTTTGAGACGATAATTTTTTAATATTCTAACGTTGTCCTTAATTTGTTGCTCAAATAAATAAATAATCGACAGAATTAGAAAAATAAAAATTCAAAAATGAAAACTCTTCCAGCTTAATCAGGTTAATG